ATCATGTTAATTCTAACGTTGGTCTCACTCTGGGGAATATTTCATCCTACTCGTTAATATTTAGTACTTACCAATAATTTTTATTTTAATTTTACTTTATATGAAAATCCATATCAGATAGGCATTTGGCATAAAAGAATCCCGATAATGTGTAGCACAAAGTTTATGAGGAGAATCGAGCTATAGATGATTTTATTACATATGAATTGTTTAGAAATATTATGGATTTCTCCATTTTTTATTAATTCATTTTATATATTCTGCATGAACCTTTTAACAGAATAATTTGTAGTGGGACTTTCGTCCAGGGTGGTTTAACATAAAGGATCATTCAATGATTGGTCCCAGTAACATTCATGTGGACTTTTAGAAAATGGCGGCCGCAAGTTTATATTTGACTGCTGCAGCCTTACTGCCTTATATAACCATATGTACTTTCTAATTTTTTAAATGGGTTGATAATGGTTCACATACCAGGTTTTTTTGGTGTAATGTGGCTCAGGATAAGCAGTATAACTGGCTTCAGTAACATGCAGACTTCAGGAAAATGGCTGCCGCATGTCAGAGTCGGCGATTGCTATTATCAAGGAATGGGAAGATTGCTGCGGCGATCAAATCCGCACATGCGTAGAGTCCTGACAAAACGTACAGGCAGGTGGGCACTAGGACCCAGATGCGCCTGTCACCAATGACGGCACCAGGCAAGCATTAGGACCCAGGAGTGCCTGTCAGGAGTTGGGCTGGCTATTTAAACCCAGCTCTTGCAATGCTCAAGTGCCGTATGGTCTTTCCTGTGTTCCTGTGAGTTTACTTTGCTGCTGACCCTGCCTGATCCTGATCTGCTGACTTCTCCTGCTCTGACCCCTGGCTTGCCTGACCATTCTCCTGCCTGCTCCTGCACTTTTGATCTCCTGTTGCCAAACCCGGACCGTGACCCGTTTATTCTTCTGCCTACTGTTTTGTACCGACCTGCTTTGCTGTTACCGACCCAGCCTGTCTGACCTCGCTTACTCTACCTCCTCACATCAGACTCTCACCTGCTGCGTACCACCCACAGGTGCCTCTTCCACAGCTGGTTGCACCCAGGGGTCGCGACCTGGTCTCGGCTTGCTCCAAGTCCATCCCCACCATCAGGGGCTCTGGTGAACAAGCAAGTCGGAACTTAGATTCCGCGCCCTGGGGAATTCTGGTCTGTGGGCCGCTAGAGGCTTCCACCGGCTGGTCCCTAACAGCTATGGTCCTGCTCCTGATGACATCACAATGACGAAACGCATTGGTAGAGCAGGGGCGGACTCACAACTCATGGGGCGCCTGGGCAATAGGGGATTATGGAGCCCCTGTGTCCTCACCCACACCCAAAAAAAGCCTATGAAAAAGCCAATGAAAGGTACCAGGGGCATCTCATGGGGCCCCCTACTGACCCCGGGCCCTCGGGCAGTGCCCGAGTGCTCGAATGGTCAGTCCACCCCTGGGGAAGAGCTAATTGCGTATCACAATTGTTTACTATTCTGTAAGTGCAATACTTTGTTTCATGAGATAAATAAAAGGGTTTTACACTATGAAGGTTTCTTCTGCATACAATTGATCACGGTCCGTTTGGAGGAGGAGGAGAGTCGGTATAAGCCACATTGGACACCAGGGATAAGAAGGGCGCCGTGTTAGCCAGGCATTGGAACCAGTGCACATTTGACCTGCTTACCAAGTGGTCAAGGAGTTGTGCTGAGTTCGATGGCTGCAGGGGGCGCACATGTGAAGACACTGATTATTGAATAAGAACACGTTCACAGCAGCACTATTTTTTTCATGTTCAAGAACTGGGACTTTCACGAATGGAAGGGGCTTTTCAGTCCAGTGGACTGTTTCTGCACTAATCGAAGGACTTATCACATTTACGGTCACATATTATATGCTAATTATATTTTATTGAGATTTCAGGAGTTGGGGGAAGTGTAGTACTCTTCGCAATTTGTTCCAGTTCACATAGCATTATACAGAGTTTATCACATAAGGAGCATACACATCTCACAACAATTCTATTACACCTGCACTAAGTAGAGGGGGAGGTGTGGCAGGCGCAGCACTTGTAGTGCCTTGTGCGCTGTGGCATTAGAACAGTTATGCAATTGCTGATTCTTTTGTTTGACTAGATTGACTTTACTCTGTAATTCCTCCAATGCTGCTCTATGGATGCAGTAGGTTTAAAGAGCACAATGAATACTTTAGTTAACTTCTTTAATAACTTCAATCTTCTTCATATAACACTGCTTACAATGGCTTGTTTCATGTATCTTACAGTAACTTATTTCTTTCATATTACAATGGTTTAATTCTTCGTATTACAGTGGTTTGATTCAATAACTTATCTCGATAGATTCGATAGATTCGTTAGCTTATGTCGTTAGATTATTTCGGTAAATTCGGTGGAACTACAAGCAAACACATACAACAGATTTTACACACAGATCTACCTGCACTGTGAAACAATAGAGGAACACACAAGTGCATTAAATACCTATTTGGCCTTCTCTGCTTCCATGGAACTTCTCTGACTGGAACTTTGTCTGTTTCCTCCTCTGTCTGGTGAGCATGTGTCTCTAGAACCATCTAACAGGGAGTTTTACACAGGCATAAATGTGAAACTGGCTGGGATTGGTTAAGGCTCTGTACAGTGTGAGGCTGTCTGTGATTGACTCAGTTCTATACTGACTCTTAAAGGCATATTTTCCTTTTCTGCTTCTGCTAACACAATGAATATATAAATGTCAATAACATATAAAGCTTTTGGCTTTAACATATGCACATAAATACTGTACTGAGGTTATTGGTAGGTTTGGTATACACATATATATGAACCATATTAGCAACCTAGGACTGGTCTTAGCTGGCCAGCTACAGGAGGTGAACTGTAGATTGGTCATCACCTTCATTTTTATTTTATCCACACTTTTCATTTTCATATTTATTTTTCACTGTTATATTATTAACCTCCTTAGCGGTCTGATTATGTCCATATTTCTGTGCTCAAAGCGGTACATTTTTTTGCATGGAAATATGTATTTTCTTTATTGTAGGCCTGTGATTTTTAGGAATAACTCACTGAAATCTGTCTGAACAAGTCTAGTAAACATTCCGGGTATGATAAAACTTGAAACACGAAATCATAAATTATAATTTAATAAATAATCATAAAAAATAATAATATAATAATACATTTAATTCAATAATATAATCAAACCAAAAACACTGAAATGTGAAATATAGCGCCAAGTTCGCACATCACTGAGCAAAGTCGCAAAATCGTTTTCAGTGTCTGATGACAAATTTCCCCACAAATCATTATCACTCAATTCTGCAAGTGGTTCTGATTTACTATCGCTGTTCTCTAGCTGATCTAAAACCACTTTTGACCTAAAGGGACGCTTTTTGGACGCCATGGACGTTTCTCGGTTTCCAGGCAGAAAGAACAGTAAAAATGCAGGCAGGGCACAGGACAAAGCACTCGGGACAAAATGTATGTGAAATGCTTTGATACAGGAATGTTTTACTATGTGATTTTAGTGAATGTTACTTTTTGTCATTTTCAAATGTCCCGCCGTTCTGTCCCCCGTACGTTCCGACGCTCGCAGGGAATGGAACCCAGATGACAGATGCCGGCATCGGCCGGACTACATTGCCGGGGACACTGCAGGAGGGACATCGCAGGAACGCAGAACAAGGTAAGTGATCGACGGATCCCAGGGCAGCGTCACATGGTATTCCCCAGTGTAGCTCGGGGTTACCGCTTGTGGTACTGAAACTTTACCCCGAGCTACACTCGGGAATACCGCCAGGGGGTTAATTAGGTAGCGTTACACTCATTTATTTATATTATTCGGATGTGCACAGGAGCCTCAGCTTTCTTGGGTTTCTCTCTCTCCTCATTGGCAGAGACACAGCAGTGGGAGCCATTGGCTCCCACTGCTGTTAATCACAGCCAGTAAGCCAATGAGCATAGAGCAGAGGCGCGGGGTGTCCATGTGTCTTATGGATGCATAGAGCAAGGCTCGGGAGCGAGCACACATCAGTGTCCCCATAGCAAGCAACTTGCTGTTGGGGGTATTGGCCAAGGGGGAGAAGCCAGGAGCGCCCACAGGGTACCCGAGAAGAAGAGGTTTGGGCTGCTCTGCAAATTAAAAAAAAAAAAGAAATACAACCTATAGAATTACTTTAAACATCTCTATAGTGCACTAATGTTTGCTTTACTAAACAGAAAGATTGCACACACAACTGCGGGAAAAACAAATCATAGCATACAAGGTGTTACACAATATGCCTACAACATGCACACACTTACTATCATTTCTGAGGCTGCTTTCACACTGAGGTGTTTGCCTGCTTTCATGCTGGCTCACCTCAAAAAACACTTGAAAAATGACTAACGTTTGTGGATCACTTTTGAGGCGTTTTTGGAGCATTGCACTATAATTAGCGCAACGCATGAGGTGTTTTTGAAGCATTTTTCAAGCGTTAGCACTCCCCCCTTTCACATCATGTGACTTTTTACAGACCTTCCCACATGTGCGGTGTGTTTTTGAAGCCTTTTTGGAGTGATTTTAAGGCAGTTACCATTGATTTCAATGGGAAGAGGCATTTTTGAGGCGTTTTTTTTAACTCCCCAAACATGCCGCAAAGATGCTGCAAGCAGGAGTTTTTACACCGCACCACAAGCGCAATGCAGGGAAGAATTTTTCTTGAGCTTTTCAGGCGATTTTTTTTAACCACTAGCCTACAGGGCACTCATACCTCCTTCCTGCTTTCAGCGCTGTCACACTTTGAATGTCAATTGCGCGGTCATGCAACACTGTACCCATATGAAATTTTTATCTTTTTTTTTGTGACAAATAGAGCTTTATTTTGGTGATATTTAATCACCTCTGGGTTTTTTTATTTTTTCTTAAACAAACCAAAAACCACTGAAAATTTTGAAAAAAAACCCAAACGTTTTTTTTTCTTCGTTTTTGTTATAAAATGTTATAAATAAGTGAATTTTCTCCTTCACTGATGTGCGCTAATGAGGCTGTAGTGATGGACACTGATAGGTGGCACTGATGAGGAAGCACTGGTAGGTGGCACTGATGGGCATTGACAGGCACTGTTAGGTGGCACTGACTGGCACTGTTAGGCGGCACTGATAGGCAGCACTGATGGGCACTGACGGGCGTCACTGACTGGCACTGACTGGCACTGATAGGCGGCACTGACTGCCACTGATGGGTGACACTGAAAGGCAGCTCAGATGGGCACTGGTATGTGGCATTGATGTGCACTGGTAGGCACTGAAATGCGGCACTGATGTGGCACTGATGGACACTGACAGGTGGCACTGCTGGGGCTACACAGATCATCAGAGCACACTGATCATCAGTGTCCTGATGATCAGTGTACATGTCCCCTCCAAGGAATGCCGATTACCGGCTCTCCTCTCCTCTGTCAGCGTGACAGCTCGTGAGGAGAGAAATGCTGATAACCGACATTTCCCTGTTTACATGTGATCAGCTGTGATTGGACACAGCTGATCACATGACTGAGCCGACATCTTCGGCTCTTTCCGTAGATTGGTGATCCGCTGTGTCCGAGGGACACAGCGCACCGCTGATCGCCGCACTGCATGCTCCCTGGAGCCGCGCATGCGCGGTGAGAATGGGAGGACGTCATATGACGTCTTCCCAGAACGAGAGAACCACCTTGCAACAGTCATATTACTATATGGCGGGCTGGAGGCGGTTAAAGCTAAAATGCTTGAAAAACTCCTCAGTGTAAAAGCAGCCTTTTTCAAGCATTTTTGCATAAAAAAAGGCCTGAAAGCTCAAGAAAACTGCTTCCCTATGTATGTGAATGTATATCTATGTATGTTTTCACACTGAGGAGTTTGTCTGCTTCCACAATGGTTCGACTCAAAAAGGCTTGAAAAATGACTAGAATTTTTGGAGCGTTTTTGAGGCATTTTTGGAGCATTGCGTTATAATTAGCGCAATGAATGAGTCATTTTTTAAGCGTTTTTTCAAGCGATAGCGCTCCCCCCTTCACATCATGTGACTTTTTACAGACCTTCCCACATGTGCGGTGCATTTTTGAAGTATTTTTGAAGCAGTTACCATTGATTTAAATGGGAAGAGGCGTTTTTTTTTTTTGACCTCCCCAAACATGCCTCAAAGATGCTGCAAGCAGGAGTTTTTAAGTTGGCAGTGCCTCTACCCAGGACAGGGCCTTTGTGAACAGGAGGGATTCCCTTTGTGGGAAATAAATCAGTAATCTAATCAGAGTAATTGGAAGCAGAAGAACAACTGCCACCAGTATATAAATATTAACCACTTCAAGTCCGGAAACTTTTACCCCCTTCCTGTCCAGGCCAATTTTCAGCTTTCAGTGCTATCACACTCTGAATGACAATTGCGCGGTCATGCAACACTGTACCCATATGAATTTTTTAGCATTTTTTGAGACAGATAAAACTTTATTTTGGTGGTATTTATTGACCACTGGGATTTTTATTTTTTTGCTATATAAATGAAAAGATCCACAAATTTTGAAGAAAAGTGTTTTCCTTCATAAATCTTGCCCAAAATTTATTCAGTTATCTTTTTAGTTAAAAAAAAAATAACCCAAATTAGTTTATAACCAAAAATTATAATTTTTTAAAAAAAAAATTTTTACATTTTAATTTTATTTCTTTATATTATTATTTATGTTTTGTTTTATTAACATGCTGTCACCCTAGCAGTACAGTATTACCATAGTGACACTGTACTACTTGTGAGGGGTGATGAAGATTTTGTTTTTTTTTGTACACTGATTGCTTTTACACCCATAAAGGCTGTAAAAGCAATCATTTCTCCTTTTCTCTGGCTGCCATTGAGAAATACTGTGTGGGCTGTAGTTGGTCACAGCTTGTCACATGGTACAAGGCACGTATATAAACCTGATCTGCTGTGTCCGCGGGTAGGGGGCATGCGCACCCACTGACCTGTCGGTGCTGTGATTCTGTGCAGCACCGATCAGTCAGCAGATTCAGGCCAGTGATGTTCGGCCAGAATTTGCTGAGTGATCACTGCCCTATCACAGATCTTCCTGTGCCTGTGTTTACAATCTCTGTTCCTGGAGCACATTCTGTTCCAGAGAAAGAAGAAAGCAGATCCATGTGAGTCAAAGCACACACCCAATTAACCCCTTCACTTCCCTGTCACCAGTGCCATAGTACAGTGTACAGATTTTTTTATTGATTGCCAGGAACACGCTCACATACACGATAAACCTCCATTACCTCCATTGCTAGTATAGTGTCTAAACAGATCGATATCTTTGATCAGATCGGCACTATACCAGCGTTCACAATAGTATAGTGTTTCCAAAAAATGCAACGTTAGTGGGATCAGCCCCGACACCTGCCAACACCTGCGTTTATTCCCTACACTTAGCTCCCCTTCTCACCCCCACAAGTGCAGTGCCACTAGGTCACTGTCACTTGATACATTGCACACAAAACTGCAGTTTTAGCAAGATCAGGCCTAATCTATGTATATTTTTTGTAGTGGTTCAAGCATTCCTTGACAGCCAGGTGCTCGTTTTCCTGTGAGTCACACTAGGTACCTATAAATTTAGTGGCCAAAATGTCCAAAGGAAGGTACTCTAGTGAAATGTCAGGTAAGAGCGAAGGGGAAGCCTCACTAAAAGAATCAGGCTCAGAATATGAACCTGTAGACAGCAGCAGAACCCTGACAGATAGCTCAGATGATGGAGTAGAGGTCCCTGCTAAGGGCAGTCGTACCCGACCCCGTTCCCCGGTTGCTGAGGTGTTACAGTTGCATGACGATTCTCATATGCAGCAGAGTGTCAGTACAACCTTTTGGTGAACTGGCGAGAACCAGCAGCCTAGTACATTCTGGTCTTTTTCATACCAGCACTACAGTATCACTTGGTGACATGGTGAGTCCCATAAGTGCAGTACAAACTGCTGCAGTGGCTAGCACAAGTAGTATCCCGCAGACACCAAGAATTCGAACATAGGCCCATAGAGCCCATAGTGTCCTACCGCATGTGCTTGCAAATCCTGATTGGCAGCCCACAAATTCTGCAGCACCCATACTTCACTGGTCAACACGGAATTCAGGTGGAAACAGCAAATTTAACTACTCCTCTTGATTTTTTGGAGCTGTTTTTCACAGAAGATCTGTAAGGATTAATTGTGGATCAAAGCAATTTATACTCACAACTATTTATCACCACCAACCCATATTCAAACCTTGCTAGACCATTTCTGAATGTAAAGCTTTTTTGAACCTAGCCCTCAACATGAGCATTACTAAAAAAAATGAATTGCGGTTGTATTGGTCCACAGACCTGATTCATCATATGCCCGTGTTCTCTGCTGCCATGGCCAGGCATAGATATGAGAATATAATGCAATTTATTTATTTCAATACACTCTGTCATCCTCAGGGTTATCTCCACAAAATTCAGCCCCTCATAAATCACCTGAACCAGAAATTTGCAGATGTCTATACTCCCCAGCAAACCATCTGTGTTGATGAGTCTCTCATTAATTTTTCTGGCCGCCTTGCATTCAAATTCTGCTCAGCAAATGTGCCTGATATAGGGTCAAGAAGTATAAGACCTGTGAGAGTGCAATGGGCTTTACATGTAATTTTTGGATTTATGAGAGAAAATATAGTCACATGGAGGCCCCCGGATGCCCAGACTACATGGGGAGCAGTGGCAGGATAGTTTGGGACTTAGTATCACCCTTTTTCCATATTGGGTACCACTTAAACGTGGACAATTTTTATACAGGTGTGCCATTATTTAGACATTTGTACAATCTTGGAATTGGCGCCTGTGGCACTCTGTGACCTAATCGCCAGGGCTTCCTCCAGTAGCTGGTAAATACCGTCTTAGGAAGGGGGAGAAAGCCTGCTTGAAAAACAATGAATTGCTTGCAGTGAAGTGGACAATGTTTTTGTCCTAGCTTCCTTTCATGCAGGTATGACCATCCAAATTGCTACGACAGCTGATGTTCTTGAGAAGCCCTTCTGTGCCCATGACTACAAACTTAACATGGGAGGGATGGACTTCAATGACCAGATGATGAAGCCGTACTCAGTTTCTGTATATTTATTTCAATTGGCTCTGTACAACACTTTTGTGTTTTACAAAGCACTTGGACGAAGTGGATCCTTCCTAAAATTCCAGGAAGAGATAATCACTACCCTTTTGTATCCAGAAGATGCTGTAACTCAAACCCTCAACCCAGATACAGTGAGCCAACTGCATTGGAGGCATTTTCCTGATGCCATTCCTGGTACCCTAGCTCAAAAATAACCCCCCAAAAATTGTGTCTGTTGCAGACATGGAATGAGGATTGATTCATGCTTTTTTGTCTATCCTGTCCAGGCTAACCTGGTCTCTGCCTCAATGACTGCTTCTGTTGCTACCATACACTAGTGGAGTATAGGGTACAGAACGGCACAGTCCAGTACACATATATATATATATACAGGGTCTCAAAAGATGTTAGGTGGTCAGGAAACTGGCCATTTTAAGAGACCTTAACATCTGCTTATTACAATTTAAAGAAAAAAAAAGTAAAACAAAAAACATACAAAGTAAAAAAAGTAAAACTAAATAAATAAATAAACCAAAATAGTCATTTTATTGAGTTACTGTTTACTGTTACTGTTTTATTGTTAACCATTGCTGTTTTCTTGGCAGGAATGCCATTCAGCTGCAGCACCGACCTGTTTATTCTGACAGCAACAGGGTCTTGCTCTCAGAATATACGTGTACAGCACTTAAAAAAAACAGCATATATGCCCAAGCATGGGGGCCTGGGGTGGCCAGTGGATGGATGGACCCTATGCTTTGGCATATATATTTTACAATATTTTTTGGCACTGATTTCAATAAAAAAGTTGTTTTATTGAGTTACTGTTTTATTGAGTTAATATTTTATCGTTAACCACAGCTGTTTTCTTTGCAGGAATGCCATTCAGCTGAAGCACCGAACTGTTTATTCTGAAAGCAACAGGGTCTCAGAACATATGTCAGTGCGTGCAATGCTGTTGGCTGAGACTTTTTCATTCGCAGTTAAAAAAGAACATATATGCCCAAGCATGGGGGCTTGGGGTGGTCAGTGGGTGGATCGCCTCTATGCTTCGGCATATATTTTTAAAAACATTTTTGGCAGAGATTTCTTCATCCACATCAATCATTGTGAATAGAGGAATCTGTAGGTTCTTTTTTTTTTTGTTCAGCTCATGGGCTGAACAAAAAAAAAAAACATTTCATTTATGCCCACCATTAGAAGTGGGTGGGTGCAGGGTGGTATATTCTAATGGTTGGCATACCACACACTTTTTTCTGGCAGAGATTTCTTC